TTGATATTCTCTAGAGCCGTTACAAGGGAGTCGTAGCTATTGGGAAGGGTGAGAAACATTTGAAAATTTGCGATCTTGGATACAGTGTCGTATTCGAGAAGTCTGGTTGTCGAGTCCTACATAACAAGGAAGCAGTACTGGTAGGCGAGAGGAATGGAGGGTTATATCGGAGGAGCAGTTTCCAGAGCAAGCATTGGCGACCACTGTGAAGCATCCTGAATTGTGTGAGCATTTGTGGCATCGTAGGCTGGGTCATCGTGATCCGGAGGCTATTACGAAGATAGTGCGACACGATTTGGGTTTCGGCCTGAAATTGCAGAAGTGTACTGTAGATTGCGTATGTGGAGTTTGCTTGAAAGGGAAGATGTGTCGGATTTCGTTTCCGAAGCAGTCCCAGAGCAAGTCATCAGCGGTTGGAGATCTGGTGCACTCGGACGTTGGTGGTCCGATGGAAGTTGCCACACCCAGCGGCAACCGATTCTACGTTACTATGGTGGATGATTTCAGCGGTTACACTGTAGTGTACCTGTTGAAGGCGAAGTCAGAAGTGGATTCGAAAGTGCGCGAATATTGCAGTATGATGAAGAACCAGTTCGGACGTTTTCCTCGGGTGATCCGCACGGATGGAGGAGGAGAATATTCAAGCACGTCGTTCAAGAAGTTTCTTGCTGAGAAAGGCATCATTCTGCAGCAAACGGCACCCTATTCGCCGCAGCAGAACGGCAAAGCGGAGAGGAAGAACCGGTATGAGGTCGAAATGGTCCGGTGTTTGCTTCTGGAGGCAGGATTGGAGAAGAAGTACTGGGGTGAAGCGTTGAACACGGCGAACTACCTGCAGAATCGTCTTCCGTCGTCTGTCATTGAGAAGACACCGTATGAACTGTGGCACGGCAAGAAGCCGTCGTACGTTCATTTGCGTATTTTTGGTTCGGAGGCATACGTGCATGTGCCAAAGGAGAAGCGAAGAAAGCTGGATCCGAAAGCAGTGAAGTTGGTCTTCGTTGGATACGCAGAGGGTCGCAAGGCATACCGTTTCTTGAATCTCGAGAACGATACGATTCTGATCAGCCGTGATGCGAAGTTTGTGGAAGTGCGTGATGAAGAGGTGCCCCACGGGTGCCGGCAGGAAGTTCCCTAAGAAGAACCGTTTCTGTTTCCTGAAAAAGTGAGTGAAGAGGTTATTATATCGCTTGAGGGGAAGAAGATCGAAGAGGTTACTATACCCGAAGCTGTTGAAAGTAGTGATAGTGAAGAGGAAGCGGATCCAGAAGAGTTGGACAGTTCGCAGTATACGATCGCGTCTAAAAGTGATTCATCGTTCCATGGTTTCCCGTTGGATGAAATCGCTAGGCGGTCTTTGAGGTCATCGAAGGGCGTAGCACCACGTCGCCTGATAGAAGAGATTTTCGTGGCAGGCACGCTTCCCCCAGAGGAGGAGATGGAGCCGAGAACGCTTCAGGAAGCTTTGAGCTGTGGGAAGAGTGCTGAGTGGAGAAAAGCCATGACCGACGAGCTGCGATCTCACGAAGACAACGAAACGTGGGAGTTGGTAAACCCCCCTGCTGGGCGAAAGCCAGTAGGGTGCAAGTGGGTTTACAAGATAAAACGAAATGCTGCTTGAGAAGCTATTAAGTATAAGGCTCGTTTGGTCGCCCAAGGTTTTTGTCAAAAGTATGGTCAAGACTATGATGAGGTCTTCGCACCTGTTATAAAACAGACCACTTTGCGGACGCTTCTGGCGATCGGGACCAAACGGAGCTTGGTACTTAAGCATTTTGATGTGAAGACTGCGTATCTATACGGAAGGCTGGAAGAGTAGATATACATGCGGCAATCAACGGGTTTTGAGATTAAAGGTAAGGAGAAGCAAGTGTGCAAGTTGAAAAGGAGTATTTACGGGCTGAAACAGTCGGCTCGTTGCTGGAATCACCGTCTGCACGCCGTTCTCGAAGTCCTGAATTTCAAGCAAAGCCAGGCTGATCCGTGTCTTTACACGAAGGTTGCAAACGGAAAGCGCGTATACTTGCTTGTCTACGTTGATGATATTTTGATCGGCTGCGAAAGCGAGACGGAGATCGAAAAGATCTATGCGGCCCTGAGTAAGGAGTTCGAGATGACCAACCTAGGAGATGTGAACTATTTCATGGGGATGGAAATCAAGAAGGAAGATGGTAAGTACGGCATTTCGCTGGAATCCCGATGGAGGATGGATTCGTCAAAACCAGGGAGGACAATCCTCCACTCGAAACAAACACGCAATATCGGAGTCTAGTCGGGACACTGTTGTACATCGCAGTCTGCGCGAGACCGGACATCGCTGCTAGTGTGTCCATTTTGGGGAGATGCGTGTGTGCCCCGACGGAAGCCGATTGGATAGCGGCTAAACGGGTAGTTTGCTACCTGAAAAGTACAAAGAAGTGGCATTTGAAGTACGGAGATCCTGACGGCAAGTTTATTGGATACTCAGATGTGGACTGGGCGGGTGACTTGAAAACTCGAAAGTCGACGACCGGCATCGTTTTCATGTTAGCAGGAGGAGCCATTTCGTGGACAAGCCGTCTGCAGAATTTCGTCACATTGTCTTCGATGGAATCGGAATACGTGGCGTTGAGTGAGGCGAGCCAAGAGGCTGTTTGGCTTCTGAATTTGTTCGACGACTTCGGTGAACCGTCCTTCAAGCCAGTGACGCTGTGGGAAGACAACCAGAGCTGCATTAAGTTCATTGTTTCGGAACGGACGACCAAACGATCGAGACACATTGAGACTCGGCAGTGTTTCGTCAAGGAGTTGTGCGATGCAAAGGTACTAGAACTGTTGTATTGCTCAACCGAAGAAATGGCTGCGGATATACTTACCAAGGCGCTTGGACAGGTGAAGCTTCGGAAGTTCTCTGCTATGCTGGGATTGACCGGCGGAGATCGTTGAGGAGGAGTATTGGTAGGAGCAACGATCGAGATGCTCTTACCATCAGAGCTGTGCTGTCAAGAATGAAACTTTCTACCAACACCGACAGCACCGCCTACCTTGTTTTTCTACATTCGTAAAAGCACCATTCAAGTGAGAGCATTGTTGTTGCTAATCCTTAATTAATAAAGTGTTTAATAAACTACAGTAGTTCCTCGGATACTTATTTCCACTGAATATATCACGGCCCAATATCCTTGTCCCGTACTATGCCTAGACATTCATCAGAAAGGAATCGAACGAGCAAGGACTTCGCTTTCAGATCTGTTTGCAAAACCTTCGCCCTTCCCTGGTCCGTTTCACCGGGAACTGGCTTGGTTTATACGTCCAAAATGTCTGGCGCATCCAGGTACAGTTGAACTCGAAACCGCCAATTCTCGAAGTTCGTTCCATTCAACTGCGGAATTCCGGAGTCTTCCTTCGTAGACGAGCCCATAACCTGAAGGATCTACGTGGACAGGACGGGGCAATAATGAACAGGCCGAGACTTAACGAACAAAATAATGTTTTATTAAAGCAAACTTGAATTGCTCACATCGAGCTCTTGAATTGGAATAACAGCGAAAAATAACAGGAGTGACCAAGTCAGGTAATCCAACTGCTCCCCCCCCCCCACGCCCCCCCCCCCCCAGCTAAAAACCCAGCAACACAAAGGCTTTCGGTGAAATCGCATGCGGCCAAATTTTCCATACTAATTTTTTTTTTCGCCACTCCCTAGCTCGAAACCTGGCTACGCCCTTGGCAGGCATGATCATAGGCGTAGCTAATAGGCCCACCAAGGCCTGGGTGAACTTTGCTTGAACATCTGCATTATTGCAGTATTGAACATTTGTAGATGCTGGGGTATTTCCAGAAGTTCAAAGATGTTCAGAGATCCTATTAGAATTAAGCGAGATGGAAAAAAAATGTGGAATTTGGAATGAATTCAGAGAACTTCGTAGAAGTTGAGAATTTAAAAAAAAAAACTTAAGGGAGTTTTGTACAGGTATGGGCTATAAACTCGGAGTGGTGCAAAATATACTTGTGCTGCTCTCAGCGTGTCTCTTATCTTTGGTGGGAGAAAGAGACAAAGGAGAAAGAGATTACATACCTGGGTGAGAGCAGTTGGACTGCAGGGGTGTTACTCGCGCATAACACAATCGAGTAGTGCACTATCTGTTGACGGATGTAGCACTTTTCAAATGACTTAGGGACCTTCTAACTCCCGGACTAAATACAATCATTGTATACAGATTTTTCTTCTATAATATGCCGACAAGTCAAGACCGGTTGCTTTAGACCAAAGACAACATATCAAGAAGACTGGCAACTTTGCCTGAATTCGAGCGACAGATACAGTAGCGTAGCGCACAAACCTTTCTTTTGAGGATGGAACCTTTGCTATCCAATCCGTTCGGAGCATTTACCTTTGAGCGGCAGATGACGCGATTGTGCCTGTCTTTTACCGGTCGTTTGAGAAAATGGCAGAGTTGCCAGTCTTATTGATGTGTAGTCTTCGTTAAGACCCACTTCTAGAACCTTGTTGTTTTGTGCGATTTCTTATTTTCTTATTTACTTAGAAGAACCAATTTCAAAATCTAAATTGATTGATGATCTACTACTATTTTATCACTTCCACTAATTAATTTTCAAAAACTTATAGACCATTAACAAGTACAAAATTTCAGGAAGACAAAAAAAAATCCTGAACAAGCTACACCCACATATGGGTTGATGGTTGATATGGGAGTATCTATTTAGTTCTTAACGCTCTAAGGGGGAGAGGTGAGGGTTTACAAATGTGCGACAACACAAGCAATGCATTTGGGTTGATATTAAATAACATTTCTTCATTACAATCCAAATGCTATTAAATGGCGAATTGTGATTCATAGAGATAAATAGAAGTTGTGTAAGATAATTGCCAAGAAACGATCTTATTGTTAAGGAAGAATGTCATCTAACATAGATCACCAATAGTCTTCAACTCTGAGAAGCACTTTCACAGTTTATTAATCATTTTTAAGCTAGCTTCGCCAAATAATCTCACGTGGAACTAAATGAAGAATATATACCTACTTGCTTTCATTATACGCTTCATATAAATAAATAATGCACCTTACCGCTGAACGCGCGCGAGACCTGCTCCTCAAATATCCTTATCCTCCTTCTTCCGCTCCAGCAGCCGATTCTCTATCTTGTCTAACCGGTCGGTCATCGCTTTCAACGAGTCCTTGATGCCAGCCTGAATCTCGCTGTAGCGTTGCATCGCAATGACCAAGCTTTCCTCCAGCAAATCGTTGGCCTGCTTCTGCTCGGCCGTTGCCGTCGTCATCGTTTTCAACTGATCGCTAACGTCCGGCAAATTGCGAAAATATTCCGCTCCCAGCGTCGGTTCCAGCGTCTTTATCTTTTGCAGCGTTTCGAACGTCCCCGCCAGATCGTTCGCAATCGTGTTGATATAGATTTCCTTCGCCTTGATATCCTGCTTCTCGTCCAGGTACGATGGATCCAGATAGGATTCTAGCTCATCCTTTCGCTGGAAGGTTTCCAAAATTTTATCCCGATTACTACCGTCGGCCAGATGGCCGGTGCTGGCCGATGGGAGAAACGAAACCGCCGATAGCACAGCATCTGTTAGATTTTCCCCTTGGGCGTCTGCTGACGGGACGGGGCCAAGTAACTGGTTAAGGTTTTCGATACGGTTCGCGATTATATCAAGCGATTCCATTCTAAAATATACATTGGAACCCGTTAGTAAAGTCCATATCATGACATCATTCTGGGAGGGGTAGGGGATTGAACATTCAATGTACAAATACCTTGCGAAAACAGCTTTGTTTGGTTTAAAAACGAGTTAAATGCACTTGCTAAACAGTGTTTGAAATTTCTTATTATAAATTAGAATAATTTTCGAATAATTACAACCAGTTTGCAAACAGTTTAGAAATTTTATTCCGATTTTCAGAAACTTTTGTTTACTTCTGCAATATTTTTCGACAGATTTTCATTTGACTGTCAAATGTTCACGCGGCTGAATCTGCTTGAACGATTGCTTACACGCTAACTTGAAAGAACCCATTAATAAGTAAAACAAGGTAAAACAAAACCCATTTTGAAGAAAAGTGAACCGCATAACCAAAAAAAAAATAATTATAAATCCGTTCGCAATGCTGAGTTTCAAAATTGTTTTAAACTTCTTGACAATTCTATAATTTGAAACTGTCAAAAATAAAACTGCAACACGATCAGCGCAACGCACAGTTCTAAAAAATGTTTGTAATCATCATGTTGCATAAACTTTACTATTCTCTATGAAGTTCTCCGTTTTTTTTTCTTCGAAACATCTTTAAATACATCCAAAGAAAATTGAAACAGATTTCCATTCGTGTTTCAAACTAGCTCAGAAATAAAACAGATTAGTCGAGCAGTTGCAAATCTGGTGCAAAATAGTGCTCGAACAATGAAACTGCAACTCAGCATTGCGAGAGGTGCATTTCTGTTCTAGTTTCAAATTGAAACAGTCCTTATAAAATACAACAGCATTGCGAACGGCCTAATAAAACAACTATATTACAATGATTTTTATTGTTGAATTTCGTGTAAATAAAAATTTATTGTTAAATTATTGTACTTCATTCGAGCAGTTAAAATGACGTTTACTACCACTCGAACTTTGAAATAAAACATTATTTTGAAATTTTTTCTTCTAGAACCACGAGAAAAGTAGCCAACATTTGTGCGTTTCATAAAAAAAATATAAATTAGTTTGTCCAGTTTTGTGAAATCGCTGGTAGAAAGTCACACCAAAACTGCTTGACAAAGTGGTCAATTGGTGTGATGAGATCAAATTTGTTCGAGAAAAATCACTTTTTTTATTGTTAAGATGCTTAACAACCCCCATTTTTTACTGCAAATTTCTCAAATACCATGATTTTCATTGTTGTGAACCATGAATTTCGTTGTGATTTTATGGTAATGGGCAAAAATTTCCTATGTTTTGACAGTAACTATCATGGTTACAATGACAATGAAAATCATTGTATTTTGATTGGATTTTTTACGGGTAAACAATAAGCTTAAGTGAACCCCACACCTATCAATCGAGCTATCAATATATTGACGCGAAGGGGAATTATTGTCAATAACATTGATGATGTGAATGCAGAAATATCACCAACAAACCTACATGACACTTAATTCTGACTTATGCCCGAAAATCGTAAACGGTCCATTTAAATGTGCAGTGATCCGAACTGTCAAAACTATAGGATTTTTTTATCTAGATAAAAATATTTTATCCAGAATAGATCAGACACGAACCAATTCATTACATTTGCATGCGGATTCATGGCTTACCTAAATATTTCCCGCAAACACGGAGCCAGATGTCAGTAGTGTGCTTTGGTCAGAAATTTTATTGTTTTGGCCATGGTCATTCATGTCGGTTTGTTGGTGGAAATATTGTTAATACTGATGTATTGACGTCAATATTGAATTATTGACAATACGATTATTGTCAATAGAAGCAATCGTGTAGGGTCCACTTTACGAAGAGCCTAACCACCTATAGTAGCGTTTGTGTATGGTACCTGTTTATTAGGGTGGCTGAACACATTAATGTGTTATTTTTTACCTACTAATTGTTGAACGGAGCCGGCACCGGTGGTGTAGTGGTAAGCGTGACTGCTTTCTAACACCCCAATGGGTCTGGGTTCAATCCCAGCCGAGGTCGGTGGGATTTTTCTGAGGCATAAAAATCTCTGGTCACGTCCCCGAATAGAAATTGTAATGTAGGAAACATCAGCAGACATCTTCAATACATTAAATTTTAATGTGTATTGCTGTACCCTTAATGTATTCAGACTTCAGTGTGGCATCCAAGTACATAAAAATACATTAGCCTCAAACGTTACATCAGAATCAAACGTCTTGACGATGTAAAATTTGACATCAGAATACATCCAATGACAACAGAACCAAACGTTACATAAGAATCAAACTTCATCACGATGTAATTTGTTGCACGCATAAAACATCAGAATACATCCAATGACAACAGAACCTAACGTTACATTAGAATCAAACTTCATCACGATGTAATTTGTTGCACGCATAAAACATCAGAATACATCCAATGACAACATAACCTAACGTTACATTAGAATCAAACTTCATCACGATTTAAATTGTTGTCCTTCGGTCCCTCGCCGCATGCAAAGTTTGTTTTGTCCTGAGTCAGCACTACACGGCGAATAAGAACACCCAAATTTGAGTTTAGTTCACTCATAAATCGCAAAAAGTACAGGAACTCAGTTTTGAGTTAATTTCCCTCTGTTTTTCCAGGTTTTCCAGGTTTTTCCAGTAAAATTTTTCCGAATATAAGAAAAGTAAAGATTGGATTCTGTGGATTTTCGTCAATCCTAATTTTCCGGAATTTTGAAGTTTTCCACCGGAAAACATGAGGCAAATCTCGAGGCAAATTTACTCATCGCATCGTTCCTGCATTTTTTGCGATTTTGAGTACACTGTATTCAAATTTGGGTTGATCACATTGGCCGTGTACAGTTTTTTTTTCGCGGTGTCCGTCGCGAGTTTTGGTGGCGATTCGGTGTCCGACGTTGCGGCAAATCCTTTGGTTTGTTTTTTTCCGTCGATCTTGTTTTCCGTGCTGAGCACCAATGCTACCGACGTGCCAGGAAGGCAGCTCCCACACCTGGACCCCCGCCAGTTTCGAAGATTGCGAGTCCCGCGATCGCCCTTTGGAAAAAGAAGGCTGTTTTTCAGGTTAGTAAATGTAAAAAATGTAAATTAATGTACTGTAATTATGTTTTTTTTTTAGGAAAGTGCACCAGTGCGAAGCCGGATCCCGGTAGGGAGTCCGAAGCTGGATCCCGGCGGGGAATTTGAAGCCGGATCTCTTTGCAGGTTAGTGAATGTGTTTATTGTTTTTTTGTTTATTTGATTGACGAATAAATAAATAAATAGGGGGAGGAGGGGCATAGTGAGCATCCCGCAGTTTGGCTTTGGATCTCCAGCTGCATGAAACAAATCAACTGGTAGTAGGTTCAATATCATTATGATATTGATCCTACCACCAACCATTTTTTTTTTCCGAACAGCCGGAAGTTCAAGCTGGATGCTCACTATGCCCCACCTGTTCACTATGCCCCTCTTACCCCTACTAAAAGCTTAAATAAAGTGGAAGATGACGGGTTCCGTAGGCGGATCCCGATGACGGGTTCCGTAGACGGATCCCGATGACGGGTTCCATCAACAGATCCCGATGGGGAAACAGAATACGGATCCCGATGGGGAAACCGAATACGCATCCCGATGGGGATTCCGTAGACGGATCCCGATGGGGATTTCGTAGACGGATTCCGATGGGGAAACCGAATACGAATCCCGATGGGGAAACCGAATACGGATCCCGATGGGGAAACCGAATAGGGTACCAATGGGGAAACCGAATACGCATCCCAATGGGGATTCCGTAGACGGATCCCGATGGGGAAACCGAGTACGGGTCCCAATGGGGAAACCAAATACGGATCCCGATGGGGAAACCGAATACGGATCCCGATGGGGAAACCGAATACGAATCCCGATGGGGAAACCGAATACGCATCCCGATGGGGAAACCGAATACGCATCCCAATAGGGATTCCGTAGACGGATCCCGATGGGGAAACCGAATACGAATCCCGATGGGGAAACCGAATACGGATCCCGATGGGGAAACCGAATACGGATCCCGATGGGGAAACCGAATACGCATCCCAATAGGGATTCCGTAGACGGATCCCGATGGGGAAACCGAATACGGATCCCGATGGGGAAACCGAATACGGATCCCGATGGGGAAACTGAATACGCATCCCAATAGGGATTCCGTAGACGGATCCCGATGGGGAAACCGAATACGAATCCCGATGGGGAAACCGAGTACGGATCCCGATAACTCAAATCTTCTAAATATTAATTTCTTTAAATTTAAATCATCAAGAATTTTATTATTCTCTTCCGCAATCGTGGGGATGGGAGTGATAGGGCTGCAGATAGCAGTGGTGGGGGACTTGGTGACTAATCCGATGAAACTGTTACTTCTTGAAGCTAATCTTTTTCGTATTTCTTTTATTCTCTTTTCGCACTTTGCATATGACACCATCTATGTACATTGATATCTACATATCTACATTGATCCTACATTGATTCAATGATGTGTGGAGAGCTCATTCCGAATGATCAGTAGACCAGCCTCATCCCAACAAACATTGGAAGCGGACTAAGAGCTTATTCAGGCAAAAATATGCTTCTTCAGTTAAAAAATAGCTTATTCAGCCCTTAATAAGCACAAATAGTTTGTTGGGATCCCAGATGACCATCGCTAATAAAAATTGTATGGTTAATTTGCTTAACGACGTGTTCTGGGTATCATCCAAACCATTTGTGGAATAGTTCAATGATTAGGGTTATCGTTCGTTTATGGTTATTTTTTATTAGGGATGGCAATTAAATATTTTTGCAGACAATGACAGATGGTGAACATGACGATCCAGTTATGCTGTTATATAGTACTATACGTACATTTAAAATTAACCATCAATCGCAGAAACTATACGAATTATCGCGTATCTCTGTTGTTCATTACATGCCAAGTGAAAACCTAATCATATATTGTCGTGGAATGTTGACAAACGTATAAGATACTTACTTTACTTTTGCTGGTCCGACGTCCCTCAAGATTTGACCTGTATAACGAAGTTGCGCCAACTAACTCGGTCCCTGACTGCTTGTCTCCAATTTCTCGAGCATCCCACACTTCCTACATCTTGCTCCACTTGGTCTAACCACCTAGCACGCTGTACTTTTCTGCGTCTTGTACCGGCCGGATTTGAGGAAAACACCATTTT